GATAAAATCCCCAGTCTGTGTCTCTGATAATCACTGGAAATCATGCCCCAATACATGTTTGCTTTCAGTACTTTTGTTGGGCAGAATGAACAGCTCATTTGGGACAAGGTCCCAGTGAGTGGAAACTGGACATAATGAAGGGTGAAAGGGCATCAGATGCCACTGATTTCAGTGTTCCAGCAGAACGAACATTAATTGCTTGGTAACACATTGCTTAAAATGAAAAGAAACACAAAATCAAAGCTTTGTCTTGCAGCCAACAGGATTAGGATGCAAGAAATCAAATGTCAGAAGGGAACCCCAATTTACGCAGCATTTAAAGAGGTTGCTGATTCATTGCAGCATAGTTGGCATGGATCTATTAACTGTCAATCTTAGGTAGCTGATTGGTTGGGGCATTGACAACAGGATTGCAACAGGAATTTTTTCTCTATTCATTTGTGGGATGTGGGTATCGCTCGCTGGCCAGCATTTCTTGCCTATCCCTAGTTGCCCTTGAGAAGGTGGTGGTGAGCTGCCTTCTTGAACTGCTGCAGTTCACCTGCTGTGGGTTGACCCACGATGCCGTTAGGGAGGGAATTCCAGGATTTTGACCCAGCGACAGCGAAGGAGCGGCGATATATTTCCACGTCAGGATGGTGAGTGGCTTAGAGGTGGTGGTGTTCCCGTATGTCTGATGCCCTTGTCCTTCTAGATGGAAGCGGTCATGTCAGGATCTTTGGTGAATTTCTGCATAGCATCCTGTCGATGGTACACACTGCTGCTACTGAGCGTCGGTGGTGAAGGAGTGGATGCTTGGGGATGTGGTGCCTGTCAAGCGGGCTGCCTTGTCCTGGATGGTGTCGAGCTTCTTTAGTGTTGTTGAGCCTGCACTCATCCAGGCAGGTGGGGTGTATTCCATCCTGACTTGTGCCTTGTAGATAGCAGACAGGCTTTGAGGAGTCAGGAGGTGAGTTACTTGCCGCAGTATTCCAAGCTTCTGTCCTGCTGTTGTAGCCATTGTGTTTATGTGGTGAGTCCAGTTGAGTTTCTGGTCAATGATGACCCCCCAGGATGTTGATGGTGGGGGATTCAGTGATGGTAACATCATTGAATGTCAAGGGGCAGTGGTTAGACTGTCTCTTATTAGTGATGGTCATAGCCTGGCATTTGTGTGGCATGAATGTCAGTTGCCACTTGTCAGCCCAAGCCTGGATATTATCCAGATCTTGTTGCATTTGAACATGGACTGCATCAGTATTTGAGGAGTCATGAATGGTGCTGAGCATTGTGCAATCATCGGTGAACATCCCCACTTCTGACCTTATGATAGAGGGAAGGTCATTGATGAAGCAGCTGAAGATGGTTGGGCCTAGGACACTACCCTGAGGAACTCCTGCAGAGATGTCCTGGAGCTGAGATGATTGACGTCCAACAACTACAATCATCTTCCTATGTGTCAGGTATGACTCCAACCATCGGAGAGTTTGCCCCCTAGTACCCATTGATTCCAGTTTTGCTAGGGCTCCTTGATGCCACACTCGGTCAAATGCAGCCTTGATATCAACGGCTGTCACTCTCGCCCCACCTCTGGAATTCAGCTCTTTTGTCCATGTTTGAACCAAGACTGTAATGAGATCAGGAGTTGAGTGGCCCTGGTGGAACCCAAACTGGGCGTCACTGAGCAGGTTATTTCTGAGCAGGTGCTGTTTGATAGCAATGTTGACGACATCTTCCATCACTTTATCGATGACCGACAGTAGACTGATGGGGCAGTAATCAGCTGGGTTGGGTTTGTCCTGCTTTTTGTGTACAGGACATACTTGGGCAATTTTCCACATTGTCAGGTAGATACCCATGCTGTAACTGTACTGGAACAGCTTGGTTAGGGGAGCGGCAAGTTCTGGAGCACAAGTCTTCTGTATTACTGCCGGAAAGTTGTCAGGGCCAATAGCCTTTGCAGTATCCAGCGTCTCCAACCATTTCTTAATATCACGTGGAGTGAATTGAATTGGCTAAAGACTGGTATCTGTAATGCTGGGGATCACTGGAGGAGGCTGAGATGGATCATCTACTCAGCATTTCTGGCTGAAGATTGTTGCGAATGCTTCAGCCTTATCTTTTGCGCTGATGTGTTGGGGTCTTCCATCATTGAGGATGGGGATATTTGTGGACCCTCCTCCTCCAGTGAGTTGTTTAATTGTCCACCACCATTCACCACTGGACTGTGGCAGGACTGCAGAGTTTAGCTCTGATCTGTTGGTTGTGGGATCGCTTATCTCTGTCTATTACCTGCTGCTTTTGCTGTTCAGTATGCAAGCAGTCCTGTTTGGTGGCTTCACCAGGTTGATACCTCATCTTCAGGTCTGCCTGGTGCTGCTCCTGGCATGCCCTCCTGCACTCTCCATTGAACCAGGGTTGATCCCCTGGCTTGATGGTAATGGTTGAGTGGGGGATATGCTGGGCTATGAGGTTACAGATTGTGCTGGAGTACAATTCTGCTACTGTTGATGGCCCACAGTGCCTCATGGATGCCCAGTCTGGAGTTGCTAGATCTGTGTGAAGTCTGTCCCATTTAGCACGGTGATAGTACCACACAACACGATGGAAGTTGTTCTCCATGGGAAGGCGTGACTTTGTCTCCACAAGTACTGTGCGACGGTCACTTTTACCAATACTGTCATGGACAGATGCAACTGCAGCTGCAGCTGACAGATTAGTAAGGATGAGGTGGGTCAGTAGTTAGCACTGCTGCCTCACAGTGCCAGGGACCCAGGTTCGATTCCACCTTCAACTGCCTATCTGTGTGGAGTCTGCACATTCTCCCTGTGTCTGCGTGAGTTTCCTCTGGGTGCTCTGATTTTCTCCCACAGTCCAAAGATGTGCAGGCTAGGTGGATTGGCCGTGCTAAATTACCTGTAGTGTCCAGGGATGTGTAGATTAGGGGGATGGGTCTGGGTGGGATGCTAATGTGTGTCGGTGTGGACTTGTTGGGCCAAAGGGCCTGTTTCCACATTGTAGGGATTCTATGATCTATGTTTTTCCCTCTTGTTGGTTCCCTCACCACCTGCCGCAGACCCAGTCTAGCAGCTGTGTCCTTTAGGACCCGACCAGCTCGATCAGTAGTACTGCTGCCGAGCCACTCTTGGTGGTGGATGTTAAAATCCCCCATCCAGAGTACCTCTTGTGCCCTTGCCATCCCCAGTGCTTCCTGTAAGTGTTGTTCAACATGGAGGAGTACCGTTTCATCAGCTGAGGGAGGATGGTATGTGGTAATCAGCAGGAGGTTTCCTTGCCCATGTTTAACCTGAAGCCATGAAACGTCATGGGGTCCAGAGTCAAAGTTGAGGACTCCCAGAGCTCCCAACTGTGTACCACTGTGCCACCATCTCTGCTGGGTCTGTCCTGCCAGTGGGACAGGACATATCCAGGGATGATGGTGATGGTGTCTGGGACATAGTCATACTCACAGAATCATAGCTTACAGACAATGTCAGACTGTTGCTTAACTAGTCTGGGGAAGGGTTATGGTGACTGTCAGCAATGAAAACAGTGCAATATATGCAAAGCTGCTTTTGTCTACTCAGACGTGGTCCCTGATGGGTGAATATATGTAGCTTCTGGCAAATTAAATGCATTGCAAGCCCTACTGATAATTTTAAATTGATTTCTGATGTAATTCTTAGTCGAGTCTGGATTATTTAGTAAATGCTGTCTAGTTGCAGAATTGTATCTCATACTGGACACTACACCCCAAGTATTGTAAGCATGGGCTGGTTAAACACAGCTGAAGCACTGCACGCTACAGGTGGTCAAAGGGATGTGTTGTTTGATATAGTATTTGGGCATTACATTTTAGAAGATTTTATGTAAAAATACCGCACCTTGCAGAATCAAGTGTCATTACTACCTCTTGCCACTGGTTCACACACATTTTGCAGCACATAACGGTGGCAATTTTCTGTGGAGGTTCTTCACCCAGACTGTGAGAGCTGTCGATTTATTTCGTGTGCTTGCTTAGTGCACTCTCCGTGATCATTGTGACTTTGTATCCATTCCACAAACACTGTGCCCTCAAGGCAGCTCCTGAACTCCTTATCTGCTGACGCCTCAACCTAAATGGTTTCCTTGGCTGTTTTTGTCAGTGGTGGTTTGCTATTGCCTTCCACTCTTGGAGACAGGTCAAGGAAGTAAGTCCCAAGTTGACCTTCACTGCAATGGGAATTGAAAAAGTTCTTGGAGTCATTTTGAACTACACGCTAGCCCTCTTAACTAACCAGGCACCTATTGTAACTATACAGACAGTCTACTTCTTTCCTGATCAATGTTTCTATACCATCCCTTAGTGCTTGAACTTTCTCGAATGCCATTTTGCCTGTTCAGAAGGGTCCACATTTGCAAGATTAAATTGTTTGCTGAAGCCACAGATGCTAACGGATCTGTTGAAAGCTTAATCTCAAGAATCTCAACATTTCCTTCCTGACTTAAAAATCACTCTCTACAAGTTAAGAAGCCTGAACAGTGTTAATGAATGCAGTGAAACTCTTAAGGATGGAAAGCCATTGAACATTGTGTTTTCCAATTTGAGTAATGGTCTTCTAAGTACCATATATATACACACCATCAAACGGGCAGCCCCAGATTCCCTTATTATTACTGTTGTGCTATTTACTGGGACTGGGACAAATCTGCCCATTCATTGATTCTCCATTTCAATCCCTATTCACACCTACCTTTAGGACGTTCATTTCATGCACCTCTTCCTGAAATGACCTGCCTGTGACTGATTCTGCTTTTTGGGATATCACAATGCAAACAAGAACACGGCCCATCACTCTGCTCTTCCCTACTGACCACACACTTTAAATGACTGCTCCAGAAATGTCTCAGCAGTATAACAGAAATCTTTAGTGAGCATTTCCCAATGGGAGCTTTATAATATCATTTCAAATTGGCATCACGAATCTGAATGGCTTGAAATGATGCCAATGCCAGTCAGGAATGATACTAATCTCAGACAGTTTGGTGGGAGAACTGAATATCTCAGATTTTATTTTTGCAGGGGGTTAGGTCACCAGAAGCCAAATTTGTTAATGCATTGAATTTATCCATTGAGGAAGCAGTTTCCTTTAATGTTGCTCTAATTTTTCTCTTTGTCTACTGTCTCCAAATGGATACAGTAGCCATCAATACACATAGGAAAAAAAGTGGGTAAGTGGGGTTGAGCTACAGCACAACCATCATCCCTGTAAATAATGAAATAGATCCAAGGACTGAATGGAATTCCAGTTACTGCATTCCCAGTGCCTTTGGAGTGGAATGATACTGCTTTACGGATTTGTATTTCTTCAGGTAAGTAGTTATACAAAGAAAATCAGGGATTTGAAGGCAGACAGTTGGATACTTTACCTTTCAGAAGTGCATTCGAAATGCATACATCAGGCGTATTAGACTCTGTCACAAAACATGGCATTGTTTACAGAGTGCACTTGAAATGATTCCCTGTTGGACACTGGACACTGTATTTAAGGAGAAAGATCAGACAATCACATGCACTCACACTATTAGGCAATGTAAAGCTTAAGAACATGACAAATAGAGACCTCAGTCATGTGCGGCTTAAAGTTCGAAACAAAATTTTAAGGACAAATGTCAGAGAAGCCAGGATTCTCTGAAATGAACAGTTTCCAGCTAAAGTTATGGTGAAGCCCTTTCAGTACTTAGCTGGTCATTCAGGATTATGGAAGAGCCCATTATGAAAAGCTAATTTAATAGCAGTAATTCTATTGTTCCTTCTGGAGTCAGAGCTAAAGAGGCTCTTTGTAATAACCTGCTTACTGCAGAAGGACAGCCAGAATTTTACTCTAGGTCTCTTTATACTGTTTCAGATCCCAAAACAATTGACAAAAAGGAAATCGAGAAGTTTTCTTTGGTGTATACTATTTAAATAAAGATGGTTTTGGAATATTCCATTAAAATCACTGTTCACAATCATTGATACAGTCTCATTTTTGTAGAAACCAATCATTTGATTCACAATGGGTCTGATAGCTGAATGGCACTCAGATGTGTACTTTTACTCAATCAGTGCTGGACATCAGAAACTACCATCCTTCAGATTATGTCCTGGGTTACCATTGGTGTCAAACTTGACTATGTCACTACATCACAGGTTACGGAGTATGCACAGCTAACGATTCACAGAGAGGAGTTTTTAATCTTGACTGCCAGTGTTCCTCTTGCTTTAGTGCTGGTGCTGTCATTGTCTCAGTAAGGTCCAAACTTTTCATTCCATTGTGAATGGAAAGATTCAGATCTGAGGTGAAGGGACCATAAGTAGTCCAGTTGGCTTCATCTTGTTGATGCCTCCATCCAAGATGCAGACTCGCGGGTAACCCAGCTTCACTAAATGAGCTGTGAACTGAAGAAGAAAGACAGAGTCATTAGCTACAGAAACATCCTAAGTGTAATCACCTCACTGATTAAAGTACGGATGGATTACTGCAAGGATAACTGGGTGAAGAATGTCCAATAGCTGTTTCATTCAACTTATCTGGGGAAGAAGGTCCTCAGTCCTATATGTGACTCCAGTCCGAATCCAACTTGGTTGACTCTCAATTTCCCTCTGAGGTACCTTAGCAAGCCATTTTGTTCAAGGTACGATGGATGGGCAATACCAACAGTGCCCATGTACTGGGATGATTGAAAAAATCCTCACCAAATGTACAAGGTCTTTGCGTAATGAAACCCAAACAGAGGCTCATCATTAAATTTGTAATATAGGGACTGTTAAGTTAAAAAAAAATGCTTCAGCACTGGGTTTCCATAAAGTGGGAGTTGGTAAAATTCCCATCACCATTAAAGAGGCTCCCACCCACTTGCTTTCATGTTGGAGCAGGATACAGTCGGGCGGATAATGAGGCCAGAAAGCCCACGTCCATGTACCAGGACATCAGTCTTGTTGTAACCGTGACTATTAAGCTCTGAACCCCTTACCACCAACATTCTTTCCTTCACCTCCATTCCCCCCAACTGTCCTACAACCAACGCTCCTTTACATTTCCCCTCATAGCTTCAAAATCCCAGCTACGTGCCCTCTATACCCACTTTTCCAGTTTCCATTATACACAAACAGCAAGCCACTAGTAAGTATGAAAAATTTCTGAAATGTTCCTGAAACTGAGACAAGATGCAAAGAGACATAAAAATTCATCTGTACAAGAGCCATTCCTCTTATAACTATTTTACAGCTGTCAATCAATCCCCTGTAAACTGTGCCTACATTGCCTACAGGGCTAAGTCCATTAACCATTCTTGGAACTCTACCAAGCATTCATAATGGGGCTACTGAAAACTGTATCAACAAAGTAAAGTGAGTAGATGGTCAGACATTGGTTTATCCACATGTAGGTGCTTGTGGCTATATTCCTTGCATTTTTGCTACAACAATTCTTTAAAGTGAAATTTATCTTTTTATTTTGAGAATCATCTAACTCTTAACTCACATTTAATTTATCTTGGTTCTGATTCATTTTGAAGTAAAACCTAGAAAAAGTGGAATTTCAGTAATTTCTTCAAGTGGTGGTCATTCGGTAAATTTGGTTATTTTGATTTCCTTCTCCCCCACTAGGATCATATAAAATTTACTGTAGTGTGGTGCTGTTATTTGAGGGGCACATGTTGGACAGAACACCAGAAGAACACTCTGTTATTCTTTGAGTGCTGCTTTGAGATATTTCTTTTAAGAGCAAGGAAGCAGAATCTTGGTTTAACAACATCTCCGAACACAGCATCTTCCCTGGTTGTGGTCTCAGGACCTGGAACAGTACTGGCTCCTGTTTCCCACCCCTGGATGTTTACTAATCTGTAAACTGGCAGTTCAAGACTTGGCTGAAAGCAGGATTTTTAATTGGTACTAGGAACTACGAGGTGCAGAATTGTCAGTGTTGAGTCTAGTTTATTTCAGAAGTACATGCCCTAAAATTTTAACTAAATAGTATTTTAGCAAGTTGACAGGTTCTATAAACCATCACTGGAGTAGACCACAAATAACCAGCACATGCTGGTAAAGCTGGAAAACTTACACAGCACTGTTAAAACATTCATCATCCATTCGCTGGTCCCTTCCTTCACAATACAGTGACTTAACCACTCATTAAGATCACTTCCTTCAGAATGGACAACGCCTTACTGCGTTGCTTCCCAAAAAGGAATAAAATTTATTCCCATTTTCAGAAATCACTGGCAATTATTAGTAAATACTAAAGCACTAAGTTTGACTGCAGTTTAACTGCATTAAGGACTGTTTCTTCTAGCAAACAGAAGATGCAGCATAGATCTGAAACAGATCTTCATGATTAAGAACAGGCTGTGTGGGCTAGACATGAAGAAGATGCTTTCATTTAAAAGTGAGAATATGGAACTCACTGTCAATTGTAGTGGTTGAGGCAAATGATATAGATTTATTTAAGGAGAAGCTGGATAAGCGCATGTGAGAGGAAGGAATAGAAGAACTTGTTGATAGGGTTAAATGAAATAGGTGGAGAGAGGATTTATGGGGTACGTAAACTCTGACATGGACCAATCTGGTTCTGTAGAAGAGTCATATCAGTCTTGAAACATTAACTGTCTCTCTCTTCACAGATGCTGCCAGGCCTGCTGTGTTTCTCCACCACTTTCTCATATGCTTATATTTGGCATGTACCAGTTATGCTGAAAGGCTTTTTCTAACGTGTCAGATGCTAAGCAGTTCTACATAAGGTGATGGAGAAGCAAAAATTCAAATTGTGTTGCAAAGTTACTTCAGGTGCACACCTGGAATGGTATCAGTCAGATAATCAGGCAAGTACTATCACTGAATAACTGTCTGCTTTTTGTCCCCCTTATATTCTGTTGTGAGTATTTCCTTAAACCTCCCTTGCTACAGGTTTATGCCTCACCAACGTGGAACCTTCATACTAGAGGTATGACAAAGATTTCCTTAAAGGGAAGTTCTTCTTTAGCTCTCCTTCACTTAACCAGCTCTCAGCACAGTGGCTGGCACTATCCCATAATATCTTTCACTGACCAACACTGCCTTGTTCAGCACGCAACTTGACACTGACTTAGCACCTACTGAGAATGGGAAGCACCTGGATTTCATGATCCACTCAAGACTGAAGCAACAAGATACAAACGATGCTTAGCTGCCAAATTACTTCACCTTACTTTACACAACTGGACCAGATTAAGGTGGTGATGCATTTAAAAGTATCAAAGTGGATAGAAATTGACATTTTCCAAATATTGATGGGTCTGGAAGAAGGGAATGTGTGATGAAATGCAAGCTGTTTAGACCATAGATATTGAAAAAACATGCATGCTGACATTAAACAGGCTGACAATTTCTATAAACTGTTATTAAACGGGATTGCAAATAACCATTACAGGCAATTCAAACCAAAAATCCTCAACACTGAATGATGCATGTTTACATATTCTCTCATCCTCTACATGACTCAGCCATCGATCATGCTTAATGTCTCCAGCATCACCATCATTTACAGTGCTATAGCCCACTCCAGCATGATTTTTCATTTCTATATTTGAGCAATACTAGCATTATCAACAAAACCAAAACGATGGGCTTGCCTGCAATTTAACTGCATCAAGCAATTTAAGCAGACAGCAACCGAAGCAGAGGCCGTACAGCTAATTTCCTTGGAACTGCTCCCAATATATGTTCAGGATTTAGTAAGAGGTCATAAAGGTGTTCACACAGAATGGGAGTAAAGGGATAAAATAATACAGCATGGGCAAAAGACCAGAACTCCAGAGGTGATGTGAGTGGATGCCCTTGACATCAAGGGTTTGGGGGTGGGGGGAGAATCTCTCACCTGCCTTGAACCATACCTGCTACATAGAAGATGGTTGTAGTCATTGAAGGTTAGTCATCCAGCTCCAGGACATCATTTCAGAAGTTCCTCAGGGTAATATCTTAGGTCCAACCATTTTCAGCTGCTTCAGTGAACTTCTTTCCTCATTAAGGCTGGAAGCAGGGATTTCACTGGTATCTGCACACTATTCCGCACCACTCATGACTCTTCAGACATTGAAGCAGTCTATATCCAAATGCAGCAAATCCTGGACAATATCCAGGTTCAGGCTGACAATTGATCAATGATATTTGCGTACTTAAGCTCTTTGCAATGACAACCTCCAGCAACAGGAAATCTCATCATCGCCTCTTGCCATTCAATAGCATTACAGTTACTGACTCCCCCACTATCCATAGCCTGAGGGCTACCATTGACCAAAAACTGAACTGGACTTGCCATATAAATATCGTGGCTACAAGAGGGCAGAGGCTTGGAATCTTGTAGCAAGTAACTCCTAAAACCTGACCACCATTGATAAGACATAAGTCAGGAGTGTGATAGAATACTCTCTCCTTGCCTGGATGAATGCAGCCGCAGTCAAGATCACTCAAGAAGCTTGATACCATCCAGGACAAAAGCAGTCCACTTGCACTACATCCACAAATATTCACACCTGCCATCACTTACCCTCAGTAGCAGCAGTGGGTCCTATCTGTGAGATGTGCTTCAGAATTTCAGCAATCCTCCATGGGCAGCCCCTTACAAACCTCCATCCTTTAGAAGGACTAGATACACCACTACCTATGAGCCCCTCCAAGCAATATACGATCCTCACTTGGAGAAAAAATCACCATGACTTCATTTGTGGTTGGGTCAAAACCATGGAACTCCCTCCCCAGCAGCACTGAGGGCATGTCTGAACTTAATGGGCTGTAGCAGTTCAAGAAGGCAACTCACCACCATTTTCTCAAAGGGGCAACTAGGGATGGGCTATAAATGCTGGGTCAGACAATGAAGCCTACATCCTATGAAGTAAAAAAAGCAGCTATTCGGGATTAGGATAGCTATATATTTGGAGGCTAAGACCAACACAGACTGCTGTGCTGCACCAGTTCCTTATGTAGTAACAGACCGATATTGGGCTAAAAAAAAAATTACACATGTACAACAGAAAAGGTTGGCCTGGACTCTTGTTCAAACCAGTACAGTAAGGAGTTAGGAAGTCAATAGAAATTTTGATGTTTATTGTGAGGGGGATGGAGTTCAAGTACAAGGAAGTGCTGCTACAATTGTACAGGATTTTGGGAAGCCACACCTGGTGTGCTGTCTACAACTTTGGCCTCTGTATCTAACAAAGGATATACTTGCCTCAAATGGAATGTAACAAAAGGTTGATAATTGCAACAATGGTTCCCTAAATATATTCCTGGGATGAGAGGGCTGTCTGATGAAAAGAGATTGAGTCAAATAGGCCTGGAGTTTAGAAAAGTGAGGAGATGACCTTATTGAAAGAGAGGTCTTGACAGTCCTGCCAGAGAGGCTTCTCCTTCTCAGTAGAGAGTTT